TCGTTTAACAGTTTTCTCTTACATAAAATGGAGATAATAATTGTGAGAATCAAATTAGACAACACTAGTGAAATGCTTTGCAGCCTCTAAAGGGTTGTATAAATGTTGGCTGTTATCTTAGAGAGTTGCCTGGGGCCCTGGGCATTTAAGTGAACTGCCCATATTCATTTAGTAAATAAGTATTGAGGCAGGATTTAAATATTTATTTTCCCCATTCTTAGCCACCCAAGGCCTTTCTCCACTTAGTAACTGTCTCTCTTTGTTACTGATATATTCTTTTATTTCAGAGTTCTTAAATGGGCCTAAGACCATAGCTCCAACCATCTCCTTTTTGTGAAATTGTTCTCTTTTTCCCCAGTAATCTCTACTGACTCTGCTATCCTTCACTCTTCCAGGAAAACAATTTTCTTTTTAAGTAGTGGACTGCTTCCATGTTACTTCTTTATATGGTAGTCCTGTTGGGGCATAGAATTCCAAATACATTGTTATTTAGTAATTGTGATGTAATACTAAATTACAGCCTATTACTCTAAATTTTGTAACCTGGCATGACTAGTCATGTGAAATACTTTTTACTTTTTGTTCTGATCTTGTTCAGATGATTCAAAGTAGAATCGTGTGAGACTCATCGCTAGTCTGCTTTCTAGAGATGATTATTGGGCATCCTTCAGCTCTGTATTCTTCCTCTACTGAATTGAAGCCTCTGTATTTTAGCTCACTTGAATGTGTTTTATCTTGCTGTACATTTCCTGCTACCCACCCACACAGTCACTCTTAGTTCTTTCAAACATGTTTAAAATTTCCCTTTAAATAAAACTGTTCCCTTTCTCTTTTTTTTTTATTTTCTAGAATGGGCTTCCTTAGATTCCAAAACTGTTTTCAATTTGCTTTAATTTTACACATCAGCTTGTTTAATGTGATACGTGCAGCATCAAACATTTTTTTCCAAAGACAGATGCAGTTTGATGCAGTTGTTTCTGCTAGTTTAAAAGCAAAGATCCAAGGTTTTTTAGTAGCAGCTTTTTTCAGTGATGACCTTCCTCTCTCTAAGCATTTCAATATTTACTCCTTTCTAAACTAGTTATTTCTACTTCTTGACCATTCCCCACTATAGTTTTGGTATGGTAAAATCTTTAAATAGCTAAATTAGATACAGAAGAGTAGACAGAGGAATGCATATCTGATGCCACTGCTCACAATGTAGGTACCCACAACCATTGACCATAGTTTTTAAGATTGAGAAGCAGTGTGTTATAGTAGGAAAAAAGCTTAAGGCATCACAGACCTGGGTTCAGACCCCAATTCTGCCACTTATTACCTATACTTGCTACCTCTACAATCCTGTGTAAGTCTTTTAACCTCTCTAGGCCTCAATATCTTATCTGTAAGTTGGGGGGAGGGGAAGTGTGATGAGGAGGTTTAGACTAAACTACATGCTCTCTAAGGTACCTTCTACCTCTAAATCTATGAACTTAAGTGTTCTCTCTGACTCTCAGTTTCCTCATCTGTAAAATGGCAGGTTGATAAACAGCACCTATATCACAGGGCTGGTAAGAAGACTAAATGAGAAAATATGAATCCTAGGACTTGGCAAAACCTTAAAGTGATATAGTCGTGCGAGTTATTTCTTAGTCCTCTAAAGTCCAGTCTTTTAATGTGATTCTCCGGTTGTCCTCAGACAATAGACTAAAAACTCTGGATTAGGCCCAAGCTTGTAAAGAATCCTGCCAGATTCTTGTTGCAGCGATATGAATACTGGTTTTGGAGTCAGGAGAAGCTAGGTTCAACTTCTGTTTCTGGGATTTACTGGCTGTGTGACCTTTCTGAGCCTCAGTTGCCAGAGATTTGGTACTGGAAGGGAACTTGGAAGTTATATAATCATACTCTTTAATTTTAAAAAGGAGGAAGCTAAAAGCCAAAGAAGCTAAATGCTTGCGCAGGATCAGACAAGTCTTCTATTCTTTTCATTCCATTATGCTGCTGAGATCCTAGCAAGGGAGTATTCCAAGCTAGGAAGGTGGTCCTAGTTGCAGTTTTGGAGTTGGAGTAATGAGTGATGAAATTCAGTCTCCCCAGAGAGCAGGCTTACACATTATCTTTCAGTTATGGAGTATACATTCAGCATTGTCATTCCTCTGGTGGTATTTAATACCTTTTCCTCTCTATGACTTTTCTCCATGGAGTCACCAGGGACTTGGAAATAGCCTTGCGACCATTAAGAGAAATACCACCCAGGTTCGAGATGGTCCTGAGAACTTTGATTGTCATTTATAGTTGAAAGCATCTAGGCCAAACCAAAAAACCAAAGAGCATCCTGTTGCTTCTACTTGAAACTGATAGTTCCTAGTAGCTTCCAATTTAATGAAGGTAATAACATGGTAAGAGGGAAAAAACTACATTCAGAATGAGAATATCAAGATTCAAATCCCAACTGACAGTAGCAACGCAGCTTTACAGAGAAAGCTGTGAAGACTTTTTTTTTTGTTAAGGAAAAAGATTTACTAATTTGTGTCTTGAAGGGATTTCTTTTCTTTCTTTTTTTCAATTAATTTTTAGTTTTCAGCATTCACTTCCATAAGCTTTTGAGTTTTAAATGTTCTCCCCCTCCCTTTCCAACTCCCTTCCCAAGATGGCATGCAGTCTGATATAGGATCTACATATACATTCCTATTAAACATTTTCACATTAGTCATGTTGTAGAGAAGAATTAGAACCAATAGGAAGAACCATGAGAAAAAAGAAAGAAAACAAAAAAGAGCAAATAACATGCTTTGATCTGCATTCAGATTCCATAGTTCTTTCTTTGGATGTAGATAGCATTTTCCATCATGTGACTTTTGGAAATGTCTTAGATCCTGGCATTGCTGAGAAGAGCTAAGTCTATCAAAGTTAGATATCACACAATGCAGGCTGTTACTGTGTATAATGTTCTCCTGGTTCTGCTCACTTCACTCAGCATTAGTCCATACAAGTCTTTCCAGTTTTTCTGGAGTGTGCTTGCTCATCATTTCTTGTAGCACAGTAGTATTCCATTACATTCGTATACCACAACTTGTTCAACCATTTCCCCAGTTGATGGGCATCCCCTCAATTTCCAATTCTTTGCCACCACAAAAAGAGCTGCTATGAATATTTTTGTACAGGTGGGTCCTTTACCTATTTGTATATTCTTTAGCCCTAGAAGAGCTATTGCTGGGTCAAAGGGTATGCACATTTTTATAGCCCTTTGGGCATAGTTCCAAATTGCTCTCCATAATGGTTGTATTAGTGTTCCAATTTTTCCACATCTTCTCCAACATTTATCATTTTCCTATTTTGTCATATTAGCCAATCTGATAGGTGTGATGTTGTTCCTCAGAGTCATTTTGATTTGCATTTCTCTAATCAATAGTGATTTAGAGCATTTTTTCATATGACTATAGATGGCTTTAATTTCTTCATCTGAGAACTGTCTGTTCATATCCTTTGACCATTTATCAATTGGAGAATGGCTTGCATTCTTATAAATTTGACTCAGTCCTCTATATATTTTAGAAATGAGGCGTTTATCAGAGACATTGGTTGCAAAAATTCTTTCCCTGTTTTCTGCTTCCCTCCTAATCTTGGTTGCATTGACTTTGTGCAAAAACTTTTCAATTAATGTAATCAGAATTATCTGTTTTGCATTTCATAATGTTGTCTGTCTCTTGTTTGGTCATAAATTCTTCTGTTCTCCATAAATCTGACAGGTAAACTATTCCTTGCTCTCCCAGTTTGCTTATTATGTCAACCTTTATATCTAAATCATGAACCCATTTTTACTTTATTTTGGTATATGGTGTGAGATTTTGGTCTGTGCCTAGTTTCTGCCATACTCTTTTCCAGTTTTCCCAGCCATTTTTGTCAAATAGTGAGTTCTTATCCCAGAACCTAGGGTCTTTGGGTTTATCAAACAGTAGATTACTATAGTCATTGACTACTGTGTCTTGTGTACCTAACATATTTCACTGATCCACTACTCTATTTCTTAGCCAATATCAAATAGTTTTGATGATTGCTGCTTTATAGTACAATTTAAGATCTGGTATGGCTAGGCCACCTTCCCTAGCATTTCTTTTCATTAGTTCCCTTGATATTTGAAGAGATTTCTAAGGTGTACTGAATGTTGGATTTCTATCCCAGGAATGACAGTTTGGGACATACTTACTTTTAAAAAGTGAAACATTATATGTTTTTTAATAGCTATTTTGGTCAGTGGTACTATATCATCATATCACATATCACTTTGAAGGGAAACTCTAACTCTTAATTATAAATTCAAGGAAGTCCACACTCAGGAATGATGTGTAGAAAAGACCCTTATAGGGAAGAAGAAAAGGCTTTGTTTCTTTTCCCAATCAGCCGTGGTCTGTGGCAGCACAGTAGGAGATAGGCCATTCATCAGTTTAAGAGTTTGTTTCAACGGGTTCAAGGCATAATTGATGGAAGAGAGACAGATACAGAGAAGCATAGAAAGTTGGATGGACCTTAGATCATCTGGTTTGACTCCTTCATTTTACAGATGAGGAAACTGAAGCCTATAGAAGTAAAATTATTTGTAGTGGGAAAACAAGGAAAAGCTTAACAGCAATAATAGTAATAGCTAGCATTTCTGTATATTTTACGGTTTACAAAGCACTCTACAAATATTATCTCATTTTATCCTCACAGCCACCCTGGGAGATTGGTGCTGTTATTTTTTCCATTTTATAGATGGGGAAACTGAAGGAGGCAGAGGTTAAGTGACTTCCCTTAAGTCACTGATCTATCAGGTGTCTGATGCAAGATTCTATGTCAAGTCTTCCTGACTCTTAAGGCCCGGACTCTATCCACTTTTCCATCGAGCTTTCTAGCTCAGCTATAGAAAAAATAGGGCCATCTCTACTATTTCTTTTCAGACTTTCCCCTTGAAGAGCACAGGAGTGCTTACATGATACAAAAAGTATCATATTAATCTAAACTTATCCTCTCTCTTGTCCTAGGTGTTCTATCCCAGCAGAGATGGCACGAAGATCCCAATGTTCATTGTGCATAAGAAAGGAATTAAATTAGATGGCTCTCACCCTGGTTTCTTGTATGGCTACGGGGGCTTCAATATATCTATTACACCAAGCTACAGGTAAATGTGGAATATTCTTGAGCAGAGTTTTGTTTGTTATCCCGATTTATAGATCCCCATAGTAAGACCATCATACTGTATTAGATTTGGTTACCTTTAAAGATATGTAAAATGTATTTTCACTTGGGAACTTCTCAGAGTCATTTTATTTAGATGTTCTAAGCATCATCTGTGAATTTAATAATCATGTTAGATAATCGTTTCCTTTCCCTGGTATAAATTAAGCATTTCCTTTTGACTTAGAAGTGTCCTTATCAGTAAGTACTAGTTTTCTAATGTTTTGCTTTGTTTTCTGAAAAATCTCCATAGTTTTTGAAATGTAAAGAGCAATGGAAATACATTCAGTGACAGTTTTAGGATTTATTCTATAGGAAATTGAAAGCTCAATATTTATTATAGGAACCTTATTTCTCTTCTTGTCTTCATTTGTTCTAACATGATTTGTATCACGGGATCACAGACTTAGAGCTGGAAGGGCCCTTGGAAGTCAGCTAGTTCACCCCTTTACTTTAGAGATAAAAATGTAGGACTCAGAAAGATGGAATGGCTGAGAGACAAGATCTGGATTTAAACCCGGGTCTCAGGACTCCCAGCGCTCTTTTCATTGTGCCTCTTATACGTGAGGGAAAAAGTCGTAACCCAGATTGTTGATGACAACGTGATTAGCTTCCTACTTGAATCACAGACTTTATGGTCAATGTTAGGAACTGCCTTAATTCCTATTTATTGAAGTGTCTGTTCCTTGCAGGGAAAAGAAAGCAAGTACACACATTACCTTATTTCTATCCATTTCACATTTTCAACTTGCTGCTTATTTAAGAAAGGAATATCGTTACCATATTCCCATTTGTTCAGGAAATGAAAAATCCTTACTCTGTTGCTTTACTCTTGCTCATTTGGAGTCATGATATTTAGGGAGACCTTGAAAACGGGATTTCATCTGACAACTTTAAAATGGGCAGAACTGCAAATGTTTTTATGATTTTGGAAGAGAAGTTCTTGGCATTAGTTTTCCCAGTGCTATGATGGGCAGCTTTTGGAGTCTTATGCTGTGAGCACAAGTACCTTGTGACTAGTCCAGGGTTTGTAACGTTTTTTTGTGTCATCCCAACTCCTTTAGCAATCTGATGAAGTGAATGGACCCCCTTCTCAGAATAAATTGTGTTCAGTGCCATCAGTTGAACACATTAGATGACAAAAGAAACCAATTTTGCTCAAACATAATTATAAAAATATTTTTTTCCTGCTCCTAAGGAGTTTATATTCTTTTTAAAAAATTATTATTTTAAAAAAGTATTATATATTCTATTTTAAAAATTATTTATTTTTAGTTTTCAACATTAACTTCCATAAGCTTTTGAGTTTTAAATATTCTTCCTTCCCTCCCCAAGATTGCATGCACTCTGATACAGACTCTACATATACATTCCTATTAAACATATGTTCACGTTAATCATGTTGTAAATAAGACTTAGAACCAGTAGGAGGAACCACAAAAAAGAAGAAACAAAACAAAAGCAAATACTATGCTTTGATCTGCATTCAAACTCCATAGTTCTTTTTTTGGATGTGGATAGCATTTTCCATCATGATGCCTTTGGAGTTGTCTTAGATCCTTATATTGCTGGGAAGGGTTAAGTTTACCAATATTAGTCATCAAAAAACGTGGCTGTTATTGTGTACAACATTCTCCTTGTTCTGCTCACTTCACTCAGCATCAGACCGTACAAGACTTTCCAGGTTTTTCTGAAGTCAGCCTGTTCATCATTTCTTACAGCACAATAGTATTCCATTACATTCATATACCATAACTTGTTCAGCCATTCCCCAGTTGATGGGCATTAAGGAGGGTCTTTACTGGGTTTTCTTCAAGTAAAATATACCTGTTCCTTTGAGCAAGGAGATTTTGTAATGAGCTTAGGTAACATATGTATTTTATGGATCCTTAATTTTCATCAGTTTGGGTACTCCATCCATCCGTCCATCACTAAGTAAATGCTAAATGGTCATCAATAGTTGCTGTGGAAAAAAAAATTGTATGACGAAAAATTTTACACCATAGCCAGTCTGGTGTTTTAATTCAATCCATCAAGCTATGTGCCCAGCACAAATTTACGTTTTTGGGGGGAGCAATATATAATGACTAGATTATAGTTGATTTGAAATCTGTCCAATACCTTTGCAATATGTCCCCCTCTATGAAAGGTGTTGTGAACTTTATGACTACCACATTGTGAATTTAGCGTAGACCACCCATTTCAACAGACTGAAAGTCAAATTCATGTAAACTCTGAACTATCACTAATATTCACAACTTTTTATTGAGTGCCTACTATTATGTTACTTTTGGGATATGAAGACACACTCTCTGTTTTTGGGGGCTTACTGTCTAGCTGTCAGGGCAGGACATATACATGAAGCCTTTGGCATTATCAAGCAATAGACTTCTCCAAGAACTGAAAAATTTAGAATCCTCATAGTAGATTAAGAAAAACCAAGGAGAAGATGATCACAGAGAATAAGAGGGTTTTTTTCCTTTTGTCTTCTGACTTTCCCTATTTACAGAGGTCTTTATTAAAGTTAATCCTAATAAGATACTAGATGTTGTTTTTAAGGGCTTATTCTATGCAAGGACTTTGTTTTTAATAATTAAAAAGCAACATAGTTCTTGCCCTCAGGGAACTTAAATCATCTAGTAGAGGGTGATAAAATGTATGCCAGTAACTAGAATCCCAGCTAAAATATGGAAGGTCCTTAAATGCCAAGATAAGTTTAGACTTCAGCTACTAGGTAAAAGGGAGCCATTTCCTTTTTTTCTTTCTTTTTTAGTACAGAGGTGGTATGTATCATGTTTCATAGGAAGCTGGCTTTGAACATAATATATAGGACGTATTGAAGAGGAAAAAACTGAAAGAGGGGAACTAATAATAGCTAGCATTTATATAGTGCCTACTATGTGGCAGTCACTGTGCTAAGCTAGTAATTTTACAGTTGTAAAGGTATTAACTGGGCTGTGGTTAACCAACTCAAATACTCAGGTGGATCTCTATGATCATAATAGTTTGAAAGTTCCCTCTAAAGATAGAGATCAAAAGTCACCCATACCTCTCCAAGCTGTGTGTCTCCTGCCCATGTCCTGCCCTAAGCTCATCACAGGTAATCCGTTTAACAAGTTCCTGACCTTTCTCTTGACATCCTTAGAGTATCAGTGAAGCACTCTGACCTTCCATCTGTCATCCCTTGTCCTCATCATGTAAAAAGCCCTTCTCTTCCTATTACAAAATTCCTTGATAGCATATTTTACTCTTGTTCTTTGGAGTTCTTCATTTATTACATGCTATAGCCTGCTCACCTCCACCTTGTGCTTCCCCATTCCTCTCTGTGTGATATTCATTTGGAATCCTTTGGAGACTGTTGTAGTCTTAATGTCCCAGACATACAGCAGTTCTTGTAGAATGTTGGATTGCAATTTCTTGGGCATGTCTAGTTTACTAACAGGTCATCTCTTCTGCTCAAAATGTTTGTCTCTCCAAGTAGTCTCTTATATCACTCTCTAGAACTGGGAATCAAATAATAGAGTCACTGTCTATTTGATGAATCCATTAGTCCACTTTGGATGGATTATTGTATATATGAAAAGGAATGATAATAACTTTGTGCTAGATTGTAAAAGGTCTTGAATTCCAGGTGAAATAAAGAGTTTGGACTTTAGGTAATGTGTATTTGGGAGCTACTTTTTGAATGAAGAATGATGTCCTATAACATAAAGTTTCGAGAAGGGGAAACTTTTAAGTAAAGATGTCCAGCCAATAGTTGGAAATATGGGACTGGAGTTGTAACCTAATTGTGTCTTTAACTCTCTACAGTGCCTCTTTTTAAAATATACTAAATATTTCATAATGTTTTAAAGTAACAAAGTATATTAGAGGCAAGGTACGTAAAAATTCTGAGAATATGATAGTAATGACCTTGGTCTGAATTCTAAGAAAATCTTCGCTAAGACTTTAACTGCCAGCATTATTTAATACACCTGAATGTTTATAGAAAAGTACATTCAGTTTGATACAATAGTCCGTGTATCATATTCACATTTTTATGAAGTATTTACTACTATTCTGCTTAGTGATATATTTGCAAATATAGAGAAATGAGAAGCACTAGATACTCAAGTGGAAATTTGTGGCAGTGCTTTATAGCCAAACATCACTCAGGAAAAATTATATAGTCCGATCAAATTGTCTTGTCATGTGATTATTCTGGACCCCACATTTAAATGATGTCACATGCAGCAAGGTATTTTTTGGTTGTTTAGATACGGTTTATATTTTTGAGAGGAAAGGAAATAACACCAGCAGCTAGAAAAGTAACTAAAGATAATTTTTTTAATTTTAAAAAAGTTCTTTTTTGTTTATTTCACAGTGTATCCAGGCTCATTTTTGTGAGGCACATGGGTGGTGTGCTAGCAATAGCTAACATTAGAGGAGGGGGTGAATATGGAGAGACCTGGCACAAAGGTAAGGCACTTCCCCTGCCAAAACAAAATGGTGTTTTAATGAAGAATGACATTGTGATTTTTTTACTTTTTCTTTTTCTACTCGTACCCCCCCTCAGCCTAATCCTACTTGTTTGACAAAGAAAATATACGCATTTCTGCACATGTATCAACACCTGCCCCTTTTTATTAAGCTAACTTTTCCACACATGTTCTTTTATAATTGGAAAATACAATAGCTAGATTTCAGAGCTATTTCTCCAAAAAATAACCAAAATTGTTTTCATTGTTGGTTTTTTTAAATGTATGGAGGCCGTCTTTGTAGGGGGTTCCTATGGTGTATGTGGTATTGCATATGTCAGGCTTTTTTGTTTTCTTGTTTAATTTTGCTGAACTGTTTTTCTCTTTTATTCTTTATTATAAGGAATGGTTCTTGAGAAGGAGAATGTAGGTGATGCAAAATAAAGGATATCAATAAAGATCATTTTTAAAACCGTTAAGATAACCCTTTATAGATAACTTATTTAATATGGACTTTTGAGCGAGAAACTAGATATTCTTTTTTCCCCCCTCAGTGTTATCCTTCTCTTTTAAAGTCATCCTGTGGCTAACAGTTTCAAGATGAATGATTTTTCTCCTTGACTCAAAACTTTTGGTGTTAGCCTTCTTTGAAATTTTACTTTTTAATCCCATACTAACTAACTGTGTGAAGGCCAGGGTTAGTCTCTTGCAGCTATTTTATAGAGCTGTGTGTAAGCAGACCTAGCAGTTCAGGACATCCACTTCCTCATCTTCACCCTTCTAAATCACATGGCCCAAAGGAAGGTGCCTTAGTTTTCTCCTTCAAATGAAACCCAGTAATCAGAGAGAAAGAACATTAAGTGGGAATGTGAACAACTTCAGGCCAAAGCAGCTAGTAGGTATCAGAGTCCAGGGCCCAGCCCTCAAAGATTTTGCCCAGTTTCCATCATTTTGAACACCACAATCAGAGAATAATACATTTCCCATGACCATGACTTTTTGGCTTAATTCCATCCCTAAGCTTAAGCAAAATACTTGTTCTTTTCCACTACCACCCCTCCCCTCTAGGACCCACACTTAAATTGGACTGGTAAGCTAGAGCTTGACTTCTGAAACTTTCCCTAGAACAAACTGAGATTGAGTGCTAGGGCTGGAAATGGCCTAGTTGTTGTTTACTCTAAGATGTCTTTAGTCTGATAAATTTGAAGCAAATCTTTTACCTGGAAGTTGGCTGATAATTGAGTTTAAAAATGTAATGGTCACTTAAAAATGTTTACTTCTATACTGCAAGTGATATATCTTAAAGCTAAGTAATCATAATTGATTCGTTTCTCCCATGGTTTTCTTATTAAAATCTTAATAACATTTACTTTGATGTGTAAAAAAAAATCAAAACTTCTTTAATTCTGTTGCTTCATCTTTAATCAAATTTCTGCAGAAGTAGTTCATCTTAGATGCATAATTAGATATATATCTACTTTTTGTTCATTTTATAGGTGACTTTGATGTTCCTTTGAGAGTGTGCCTGTGAATTTTGACCTTTGCCCCAAACAGAGTATCCAGAGTAATTCAGTAAACTTTTTTCCTTTTCATTTATTGTTTCCTCTGGTCTTACACTTAAGGGAAATTACTTGAAAATGAATGGAAAAGCCCCAAATCTCAGAAGAAGCATATTATCAGTCCTCTTTATACATTTCCAGCGATATAAACTTTTATTTGAGGTAGTTGGCTTCTCCCACCCCAAGGACCTGAGAGGTTATGGAACTTTTCAGTGGTGTTGAAAATCTGTTTTTGGCTCAAGTGTATTAATCCCAAATATAAAACAGCTTCTAGTACATCTTCACATAACTATTCTTCCATCTTTCCAAATTTAGCAGGCCTCAAATCAAATTTACCATGCTTCCTCTACCCCCAACTCAAAGACACCACTTCCTTTCTCATTTTGGGGGGTGGGGTGGGGTAAAAAAAAGCATAGGGCACACTGAAACAGAAATGAGGGAGGATGTTAACTAGTCTGGAATTACAAAATTAGCAGTGGAGAAATGTGGCATGTGAGCCTCCCATTCATTGAGGTTGATGTGAATTTGTGACTTGATTTATGAATGAGCTAAACAAGTGTTTAACTAAAAGATACTGGTCGAAATACGGCCTCAGTATTGTATGTAGTACTGAAAGGATTTAACATAAAGAAGTGATTGGAGTTGGATATGGCTAGAGAAAATGTCCAGAAGAGATTTTTGAAGGGTATAGATTGGCACAGAGCTTTTGGGCAAGGGGATGTCTGAAATTTTTATCCGCAGCATTTCAGACCCCTGAAGAAATGAGCACTTGGGAGCTAATAACAAGAATGATTCATATTCATGTTATATAAATGATTTACAAAACGTTTTCATCTGCAACATCCCATTGAGGTAGGTAATGCAGGGTTTCAAACTTGGACAACTCATTAAAGAAACACAGAGTACCCTGATCTTACTCTGGAAGGAGGGATCAAGGACAAACTGTACCTCCCAAATTATGCTGTTATTTTACTAAATGAGAACTCAGTAAATCCAGGATTTCTGAACTTTTGTACGTTTGGATTTCTGTTTTGACATTTGAGTTTGACTTCTACAAAATGGTAATGTTTCTCTTTGGAAAATTGCATATTCTCATTTGTCCATCTCCTTCTGAGAGGCATTCTGATGGTGAGCAGATTACTAGGCTGGGAGCCAGGCAGCTTGAGTTGTTATCCTGCCTCAAATAATAGCTGTGTGATCATAGGCAAGTCACAACCTTTCAGAACCTCAGTGTCCTCATTTATAAAATAAGGAAAATAGTGCTGGTCCTGCCTTTATTTTGCCTGTTTTCTGCTAGACATTAATCTTTCATGTGGATTAGAAATTATTGGACTTGGACAGTTTTCCATCATAGAATCATAGAGTTATCAGTCAATCAACAAGCATTTCTTAAGCATGTACTATGTGCCAAGCACCGTGCTAAATCGTGAGGACACAAAGAATATACACAGAAAAAAGTGAAATAATCCCTTCCTCATCTATTCTGAGAGATATGAGACATACATATGTAAATATATTTGTAATATATAAACAATTAAAATTGAGGTAGTTTTGAGAAGGATGGTACTAGCAGCTGGGGGTCAGATGGGGTTCATATAGAAAGTGTCACTAGAGCTAAATTTTAGCAGAAGCTAGGGATTCTAAGAGATGGTGCATTTGAGGCATAGGGGACAAACAGTGCAAAGTTCCAGATATGGGAGATGGAGAATCAGGTGTGGAAAAGTGGGTGGGTGGGTCAGTGTGGTTGGATCACAGAGAACATGGAGGGAGATAATAGACAAGCAAACTAGAACCTGGGACCTCAGAGATGTCATCTGTCCAACCCCTTCTTTTTACAGAAGAGGAAATAGAAATTAATTGACTTTAAAGATTATCTAGTACAAATTCTTCATTTGACATGTGAGGAAACTGAGTCCTGGAGAAGTGAAATTATTTACCCAAGGTCATTCAGCTAGTTGATGACAGAGTTAAGACTAGAACTGGTTTCCCATTTCCTTTGGTCTAATTTTCTTTCTACTATACTATATGGCTGAGTCTAGTTGAATCTGACAAAATTTTCAAAGTCATGTGTTTTATTGCTCATTTAGCATCTTTCTAAATGCAGTGTTTATTGTAAAGACAAATAACTCTGAAAAACTGTAGAACTCTTAATGTGTTCACTAACCACACTAACCACCGATTCATTAATTGGTCCTGAAGACCAATGAAACATGCTACCCACCAAAGAGGAGTGATGGACTCAAACGTGCAAAATTAGACATACATTTTCAGACACAACCATTATGAAAATTTGTTTTGATTGACTTTGTATATTTGTTACATAGATTTTGTTTATTTTTTCAATTGAGGAGGGTGCAAAAGGGAAGACAGGGTTGTGCTTCCCTCCACCCCCCCAAAAAAAAAAAGAAAGAAAAAGGAAAGAGTATCTAGCATTGAAGCATTTTTTAAAAGCAGAGAGCAGAAAGAAGGCCAGAAGGTATCACAGACAAGTAGGACAGTTTTGAAAGTTACATGCTGAACTAATAATATGTTTAAAAAGAAAAGCAGGCTCTACATGGTAGAAATACAGTTTTGTGTACAATCTTCTTTTTCTGTTCTGCTATCTATGTGGAAATTGTCGTTTTACTTGACATTCTTTTAAAAGGAAATGTAATGTTGGTCTTTTAATTATGATGAAGTACAAAAATATTGCACATTGAAAAGGTTTTCTATAAATTTTCACATGATATTAAGTTAATTCTTGGATGGAGTCATTGAAGATCTGTATAACAGAATCTGTCCTGCAAGTCTGTTAGTGAGAATTGTAACCCACTTGTTCCATAATGCAAGCATTTTATTATTTAGAACTCAGCAAAAGCATTGGGGTTGAGGGGTACCAAATTTATCTCATCATTTCCTTGAGCTGAAATTTTTTTCTACTTTGTTGTGAGTTTCTTTTGACTATATGGTTTTATGTGTTTTACGAAATGAACTCTCAGTACCTCCCTTTCCTCCCCTGATTTTGGTATATTGTAGGTGGTATCCTGGGGAAAAAGCAGAACTGCTTTGATGATTTTCAGTGTGCTGCTGAATATCTTGTAAAGGAAGGGTATACTTCACCAAAGAGATTGACTATTAATGGAGGCTCAAATGGAGGACTTTTAGTGGGTAAGATTTATATTTCTATTCATTGTACTTGCTTTTTAAATACAAAGTAAATTTTCAGAGAATCTTATCTGAGGACACTCTTCAAATTATCTTAGTCAGTAGAGAACAGATACACAGATAATCTAAGATGACAAACAATTCCAAAACTATTTACAGTATTTTAGATTTTATGTGTTGGGATAAATCATTTCATATGCATTTATTTAGCACCTACTATGTGCCAAGCATTATTCAGGGCACTGGGCATACAAACAAAGGCAATTCCAATATTCATTAAACTATACCACACTGCCTTTCCTAAAATTAGCATAGATACAATTTGAATATGACCTTTAATTGGTGTTACTTTTCAATGTATGCTGAAAATCTTAGGATGCAGCAGCTGAAAAAGGTACCTTAGAGATAATATAGCCAAATTGTTCTTATTAGTTGAGGATAGAAGCTATGCTGTAGAAGCTAGCTTGATTTTACAGAAGGATTTACACAGAATGAATCATAAAATGTTAAAGATGAAAGAGAACATAGACATCATATTGTCCTTCCCCTTCCTCCCCCTCACCCCTTTTTTAAAGATAAGGACACAGAGAACCGGAAAGGTGAAGTCTAAGGTCACACAGCTGTTTTGGTGGAAGAGCCCTGAGCCCTCGACTCAATCTGTGTCAAGTGTTCCCATTTCCACACTTCAGTCTTAACTATGCACTGTTCCCACCAAAGCATTTTTATTTAAAGTCCTCTCCATGCTTTAACCTCCTTGATACTAACATAGGGAAAGTTGTCTTATTTTAGGGATGCTATGTTCAAATGTGACTTACTTTCAGATCGGTAGGATATATAAAAATACAAATGACACAAGGCAAGTATACTATGATAAAGGTAACAGTAGTTAGTTTGTATCCTGGGTGATTGTCACAATTTGCCATGGATAATCAGCTATCTGAGAGGCAGCTGACCTGGGAGCCAAGAAGATCTGGGTTGATGCACTGCCTCTAATATATATACTTGCTATGTGACCCTAGGCAACCTCTCCAGTTAAAGGGGATCTAGGGGCAGCAGAGTGGCACAGTGAATAGAGCTCTGGCCTTGGAGTCAGGAGAACCTGAGTTCAAATCTGGCCTCAGACACTTGAAACTTGCTAGCTGTGTGACCCTGGGCAAGTCACTTAACCCCAACTGCCACACCAAAATAAATAAATAAATAAATAAGGTAAGATAAAGGGGATCTGTCTTGGTAGGAGGAGTTTCCTTATCCAGGCATTCCCTGTAACAGTGAAATCACAGTTCCAGTGCCTATCCCTATCATAATATACTATGTAATTAATCATCTGTAATTGATATTTAATGAAATTGTACTTTTTTTAAGTTTATGAGTAATTTTACATATAACCATCATATTAATTATCCTAAGAACCTTGCTCTGATTCTTTCTACTCAGATTCATCTACAAATTTCTTTTATCAGTTTCTCCAATATGCCATATGCTTAATTGATTCATTAAAGGGTTTTTTTCAGCATTCTATGCTGTTTTAATCCTAAAACAGTTTGGACACCTTAGAAAAATTATCAGCATTTCATAAGTAATAATTGGTGTTCAATATTCCACACATTATTGTGTTAATCTCTCTAAAGTCATGGGAGGAATAATTACATATACAGATATTTTTAAATTCTTTGTTCAGTTTTGGTCATTTGAGATGTACTCGTAGTAGAAATACTTTGCATATCTTGTTGATGTCTATGTTGATTTTTTATTTCATCTGGCTGTCATGTCTTTTGGGAGGCGAAAGTGAGGACCAGAATGGGGTTCTGTGGTTTGTGGGATTTGCAGAAGAGAAATGGGAAAGTTCAGACAGTTTGAGCAGGCACTACAAACTGCAGATTTTCGTATATCTGGGTTATGGTTGGTCTTAAATAACCCACATATAAGATATGGTTTTGAGTAGCTTGTAGAAATTTCAGTGCACAAAGCTTGAGCACAAGTCTTCAAACTTCTTGGCTATAAAAGCATGCCAGTTTTTGAGTGTTATCCTTCATTATGTTTTCTAAGTTAATAGAAAACTTTAATTACTCCTGCCTACAATAAATTTATTAATGTAGTCCATTCCCTCCCTTTACCTCCCACATATTCTATTAAAAGTAAAAATGTATACTTCCATAATAATTTAAGGTTAAATTTGTACAAAATTTTATAAGCATAATTCTCTTTAACAAGTAATAAAAATGTTTTCTCTAAATTTGATGGAGATGGATTTCAAAAATCAAATAATTTCATACATTTTCTTGTGGTTTCCATTGTTTCTTTAAATAACTATTATATTTAAACTTCTGTCCCTCTTTGAAGTTTTTAAACAATATTTGGTATGGAAAGTGTCTACAAATCAAATCTGTGTGTGCCTACCATAGCATGTGTCATGTTGAGTCAAACCTTTCCCTCTTGATATTATTTCTTCTCTGAATCCCATATCCACTCCATTGTTATTGACCTTCACATGATCTTATTCTTTCTGATTGTCAAGGATTAGCTAAAGATCACCGTACCTCCTTAGTCAACTGTTTCAGAGCCCTCAGCACTCTTTTTCCCAGGTGGCCGGCTTCCTTACTAAAAGGAAGATCTCTCTGGGTGCTTAGAGCACAAAAGAAAGAATAAAGAAAATGAGAATAAAAGCAAGAATGAGAAGGGAGAAAAGAAGATAATACAGGGAAAATTATACAACAAAAGGATGACTGGGGAGAGGAAATTGGGAAGAGGAGTTGTATTAAGGTCAAAGTCATTGTGAGAGGTAACAATGGCTAGAGGAGACCAGAGTTAAGGAATCAATTAGCAAGTATTCATCGAGTGCCTGTGCTAAAAACTGAGAATACACTGTAGGTTCAAAGAATGACAGAGTCCCTACCATATATATGAGGAGCAGAAGAGAGATAGAATATCCAGGATTAAAGGATAAACAGCATGCAGTGATGCATTGGGAAAATAACACTGACTAGGTAGGTATTAGTAGATCTGAGGTCAAGACCTAACTTGTCTTCTAGCTAGTTATATGAACTTGGTTAAGTGATTTAATCCCCTGGCCTCAGCTACATTTGTAAAATGAGTGGATTAGACAGGTTAATCTGAGGTTTCTTTTAGCTTAAAGTTCTGTGAGCCTACTAAAAACGATCATATTCATGGCCATCAGCCTCTGGGTTGCATTTGATTTTTTTTTTTAATAATTCTCATATAACTTGAGGTTCAATCTTTCTGCCCTTCTTTTCTTTCTTTTAGCTGCTTGTGCTAATCAGCGCCCTGACCTCTTCGGTTGTGTCATTGCCCAAGTTGGAGTAATGGACATGCTAAAGTTCCATAAGTATACCATTGGCCATGCCTGGACCACTGACTATGGTTGCTCTGACACAAAAGAACACTTTGAATGGCTTAGCAAGTAAGATTCTTAAGTTTCACTTATTACCTAACAATTAATGCTTTGATTTGTACAGTTCTTAAGTGAGTTTTTCTCTGATAGCCTTTAAAAAAAATGTGTTTTATTTATGCTTTTTAAAACATTGCCTTCACTCACCAATAACCACTCCCTTCCCTGCCACAGCACTTCTTCCCCCAACAGAGTATTCCTTTGATGGTTTTGCCTGATAGAGTGTGCCTCATTCTGTACATACGGTCAGTCCCTTGCCCTTCTGCCAAGAAAAGGGAGATAAGTTTCCCCATTTGTCTTTGGAATGAAGGCTGGCCACAGCACTTAAGAGCTTTTTCATACAGTGCTTACACAGTTTATTGCTATCACTTTCCTTAACCCTTAATACTGAGGGGGAAATTCATCCGTACATTTTAGGGAGAGTATATATTTTAGCACTTAAGATGAGAGGAAAGGTAGGCACAATTTACCATGTAGATATTGTAGATCATAGTAGGTTTCTGATGTCCATCTCTCTGATGATCTTGTCTAGATTTATAGTAGACATTGCTAAGATTAATTTCTTTCCTCTTCCCATGCCACAATTAAAAAAAATAGAAAAAATGAATTCTTTATAGGAGTAAAAGCATGAAGGCCCATACTACTTGTCCATCTTACATCAATGCAACTTCCCAAAACCTTGCAGAAAGACAAAGGTAAACTTGCATGCCAGCTCCTTAAAAAGAAAACCACCATAGATTTCACTAAGTGTACACATACAGACATATGTCAGTCAAACATCTATTAAGCATCTACTATATGCCAGGCACTGTGCTTAAGCCCTGGGGATATAAAAGGAGTAAAATACAGTCCCTGCCTTCAAGGAGCACCCATTCTAATATGAGGGAGGCAACAAGCAAACAGGTATGTTCAAACAAGCTGTACAGGAAAAATAGGAAATAATTGACAGACTTGACAGAGAGAAGGCACTGGAATTGAGAGGTTGAGAAAAGTTTCCTGTAGAAGGTGGGATTTTAATTGGTACTTAAAGAAAGTCAGGAGGCAGAAATGAGGAGGAAGAGCATTCCAGGCATGGGGGATGGCCAGAGAAAATGCCTGGAGCTGGGAGTTGGAGTATTTTTTTGTTCATAGCCAAGAAGCCAGTATCATTGGATGAGAGAGCATATGATGGAGAGTCAGGTGGACTGGAAAGGTAGGAGGGAGCTAGGATATGAATGTCTTTGAATGCCAAACAGAGGATTTTGTATTTGTTTCTGGAGGTGATAGGAGTGCTGCTGGAATTTATTGAGAAGAGGGTGACATGGTCGGACCCTATGCTTTAGAATGGTGGCTGAATATAAACTAAAATAGAGTGAAGTAGACCAAGGAAAACAATTGATACAATTACTACAATAATGTAAAATTAATAATACTGAAATGGTAATAATAAGCCAAATACTGTTTAATCATGATGACTGCCCTTGATCCTAGAGAAGAAATGAGGAAATGCTTCTCTCTTCTCTCATTAAAGAGGTGAGGAATTATGTGTAATTGAGTATGGTAGCTGTGTTCATTGTTTTTATGTAACTGTTTTTCTTTGTTAGAAGGGAAGGCTTACTATTGTAGGGAAAGGTGGTCTATGGGAGGAGAAAATGAGGCAAAAACAAAAAACATAAAGAAAAAGCATCACAGTTTGCAAAAAGCTCTTGTATAAATCATCTACACACACACACACACACACACACACACACACACACACACACACAATCAATAAATGTTTATTAGGCATTTCCTAGGTGCCTACTGGCCTCCATTTCCAAGGCCTTATGTTAGGTGCCAGAGATATAGAGACCAAAACCAACTGACCAGACTAAAAACAGTCCCTACCCACAAGGAGTTTGTAATCAACTGTAATTCTGCCTTGAATTTGAAGTCATTTGTTTGCATGCCATTTTCAGAGACTTAGGGGTGCTGGATTTGACAGTGGGAGCTTACAAAAAAAGGAAATTGTATGGAGGGGGAAAATCTTAACATTTCTTCCTAAATATTGAGGGCTAAGGAAATACAGGAGGAAGGGAGTAGGTAAGGAATATAGTAAAGCCGTTTCATTTCTTCCTAAGCCTTTCTATATACATATTAAAAGGTAATTTTTTTCAACGTGTTGCATTATTAGCGAGATTAAAAATTTATCTAGTTTACCCTTCCCAGTTCTATCTATATGCAACGTGAGAAACTGGCAAGCATTCTGTGGAAGCCATCCAAGCTAAGGTGTTTGCCTGCTCATTACTCTTATGTTCAGTCACCTGAAGCATAAACAGTTTGAGAAAAAATATGTTCTACCTAGGAAATATCTAAATATAAATAAGTGCTCTAAATTCTACTCTCAGCATCATTTAGGAGATGTATAACCAGAACAAATAGCATTTACTTTCTGTGCCTTAGCTTTCTCTCAGTAAACAGTAGATTCACATTAAGCAGATATGGTTCTTTAACCCTTCCAGCAAAGGAGTAAGAGAAATAAGCCTCATTTTTAAATCATTTGTTTTGCACTGTGTATCCAATTGGCATACTTAGTATACAGTAGACACTCCTTAGTATACGATAGACTGGCTTACAAAAACATATTTTATTAATAAATCTACATTTGCGTAATCCAGCAGAAAATTATTCAGTTCCTTTTTTTTTCCCCATTTGTACACATTTACTTTTATAGCTACAGGTAGCCTAGTTTTCTAGATACAGGTAATAGGAAAAGTATTTTGCATGTCCAGTTTTTAACTTATAGGTGCCATGGAGAGAAAAAGAGAAAAACTTAAAAGCTCTTAAATTTTTGAAATGATGTATATTTGTTAAGTATATATCACAAGTTTAATAGAAATGTTTACTACTTAGATTAGAACCTCTTAAAGGGGAAAGAAATTATAAGAACTAGAAGCTGTGCCAGCGTACAGTGCTAGAGTACAGTAAGATCAGCCCAGAAGTTGACTGGCTCATGTCATGAGACTCCAATCAGCTATTTTACCATTGGCTCCTTACACCTGATGTTTATCAGCATTCATTTATTTTTCTTTGTTTTTAAGTTTTGTGTTCAAGACAGCATTTATTTTCTCCTAATGCCTAGGAGTCAAGTACCTCCTGGGCCAGATTACTTAATTAGGCTAAACTGAAGCCAAATAAGGGAAAGAGTATCACACAGAATCTGAAAATTGGAAAGATCCCATCAACCAGCTAGTCTAGTCCATACACCAAAGTAATCTCCCTGATAACATAGCTGACAAAAGTAGTCCTTCAGCCTGTGTTTAAAGACCTCAAACAAGGGGGAACCAGCCACCTCTCAGGGAAGCCCGTCCACTTTTGAACAGGAAGTTTTTATTGACATCAAGCTAAATTTGCCTCTTTGCAGTTTCCACCCACTGCTCCTAGTTTGGCCCTCTAAGGCCAAGCAAAACAAATCTAGTGCCTCCACGTGCAGCTTTGCAGGCCTTCAGATACTTGGAGACAAGAGTCTCGTCCCCACTGAGTCTTCTTTTCTCCAGGCTAAACGTTCCTAGCAACTTCAGTTCTTATATAAGGGAATAAGCATTTATATAAAATAGGGCAGGCACTATGCTGAACATTTTACTAGTATTATCTCACTTGATCCTCACACCTCCTCTTCGAGGTAGATGCAATTATTATCTCCCTTTTACAGTTTTGGAAAGTGAGGCAAATAAAGATTAAATTACTTGCCCAGGGTGGCAAAGCTAGTAAGTATCTGAGAATGGATTTGAATTCTGGAAGACCTGAATTATAGTATATAACATAGACTGAAAACCCCTCACTATCCTGCTTGTCTCTCTTTGTAGCTCGTCAGGAATGTGGTGAGCAGAACTGAACACAGCACTCTAGATGTGGTCCCATGAGGGTAGGATACAGTGGGACTATCACCCTGTTCCTTAATGCAGCCTGAGACCACATTCAGTTTTTTGACTGCCAAATCACACTGCTTCCTCCTATTCCATGTTCGGTTCACTAAAACCCGCAGGTATTTTTCAGAACCATCTGATTTTCCCTCTACTATCTTGTATTTATGAAGTTGATTTTTTTTTGTACAAAAATCTATGACTGTACATAAAAGTAAATTTATCCTTGTTGAATTTCATCTTATTAGAGTCAACCCAGTGCTCCACTACAAGGCTGTCAAGGCTGGTATTGCTCTGTCCCCTTCCTTGCTACGTCTACCTCTTCCCTTTTCCTTTTGAGATTCTTGACCTTTTTTTCCTCTAGAATCTAGAAGCAAAGATTGGGGTGGGGTGAGGAGTGAAATGTGGAAAAGAAGGGGGCTTACAAGTACCAGATTCCAAACTATACTAACAAAGCATTAATCATCAAAACTATTTGGTACTGGTTAAACAATAGCAAAGTCAATTTGTGGGTATTCAGGAGTATTGTATACAAAATAGTAGGATAGTGTTCATTAATCAGTCCCAAAGATGCCAACTACTGTGGTAAGAACTCACTGTTTGGCAAAAACTCCTGGAAAAACTGGAAAGAGTTCTGTAATAAATTAGGTTGTAGGAAATAGGTTTAGAACAATAATCTCACAACCATATACCATAATAAACTCCAGATACAGGACTGAGATATAAAAGGTCATATCATAAACAAATTAGAGGAGAATGGAAAGAGGTAATTTTTTGCCACCTTGGATGAAGGAAGAATACTTAATAAAAACTTTGCAGCAAGTTTCTCTGTGACTTTGTGACCTTTTAAATCTGTGCATCCCTTAATTTTTTCCCAGACCATTGTCCCTACACTGACCAATCTTTTGTCTTCACTGTCTCAGTAATTTGATGAATCACTTTAACTCTCTACTGTCCTCTGCATAAATTCTTTGCCTCACTGTCCATCTCACCTTGACAAACCCCAACCTTGGATAACTCCCACCATCTGCCTCCTTTCTTCCTATTCACATAGTACTGAAGAGAGCTGGACAAAATTATAAAACTGAGTTGTTGGGGTCCACTACAGATTTATGTTATGTATTCTCAACTGGGCTTTCATTGCAACAAGGCACAGTTCACACATCCACTTAATAGTCCACTCACCACAGTGGCTATTTCAAACTTTTTCATCCCTTCCTCAAGCCTCCCACAAAATCCCTCCCCACATCTGCCCATTTGAGGACTTTGTTTTATACTTCACTGAAAATTTGGAAGCCATGTACTGAGGGCTCTCTTCTGCCCTCCTTATCTTCTCTCACCATCTCCTCTATTCTGCTTTCCCACCAAGCAGTGGCACTTCTCCTTCACAAAGCAGACCTTTGATCCTGTCACTTTTTGTCCTCTCCAGCAGATTGCCCCTGCCATCACCACCATCCCCAATTTTAATCTTTCTGTGTCTACTGGCTCATACCTTGCTGCATATGAACATACCCATAGCCTCTCCATCTTTTAAGGGGAAAAAAAATTCACTTGACCTAACCATTCCTGATAGCTATCATCCTTTATCTCTCCCCCACCTTGTGGCCAAAGTCCTTGAGAAATTCAGTTTGCTGTCTTCTCACTTGCTTTCTAAACCCTCTGCAATCTGGCTTCTGATCTTATCATTCAAGAGCAGCTAGGTGGGGCAGTGAATAGGGACCTGGACTCAGGAAGACTCACCTTCCTGAGTTCAAATCTGGCCTCAGACACTTACTAGCTGTGTGATCCTGGGTAAGTGACTTAACCCTATTTGCCTTACTTCCTCATCTGTAAAATGAGCTGGAGAAGGAAATGGCCAACCACTTTAGTATCTTTGCCAAGAAAACCCCAAACGAGGTCACGAAGAGTTGGATATCACTGAAACAACAGAATAACAAAACTCATTCAACCGAAATTGTCTTCAGCAGAGTTCTTTTAATTACCAAATCTAATGGCTTCTTCTTAATTCTCATCTTTCCTAACTGTCTCTGTACCCTTTGACACTGTTCATCCTCTTCTAGATATTCTCACCTCTCTAGGTTTCTGTGACTGTTTTCTCCTGTTTCTCCTAGCTGCCTGACCTTCTTAGCTTATATTTCTTACTCTTTATTGAGGTCACACCCAGTAACCCTGGATATCCCCAAAGCTGTCATGGGCCCTATAATATCAAATCTATAATATGTGTCAGCTCCCATGAGTTCAGTTATCATTTCTGTGCAGATGACTCTCAGATAGATAGATCCAACCATAATCAGTCTCTCTCTCCCTCTCCCTTTCCATCCTTCCCTCCTGTCTTGTATCACAACTGCCTTTTGTACATCTCAAATTGGAAACTTCATCAGTATCTCAGACTCAACATATCCACAACAGAGCTCATCATCTTTCCTCCTAAGCCCTCCCTGCTTCTCACCTCTCCTGTAAGTACCAAGGGAAGCCACCTAAGCTCACAGCTTGTGTTATTCTCTGTGACAACATGGTCATAGTGACCTTATATAGGCTACCTGTTGTTAAATTTGTTCTTTTTGCCTTCACAACATCTCTTTTCTATGTCTTCTCCACTCATACAGACACCACACTTGTACAGGCTTTTATCACCTGTTTTGCTAGACCATTGTAATTGCCTTCTGAATTAGTCTTCCTGACTCATCTTTTCCCAACTCCAGGCTGACCTCCATTCAGCTGCCAAAGTGATCTTAAAGCATCGGTCTGACCACGTTAGCCCCTACTCAATAAGCGTCTGTTCAGAATCAAATATAAACTCCTCTCTTTGACATTTAAAGCTCTTTATAGCCTGTCTCCCTCTGTCTTATACTTTTGTCCCACACACTCTGCAGTCCAGCTATGCTGACCTGCTTGATCTTCCACACACAGAACACTTCATCTCTCAGTTTCCTACATTTGCACTGGCTATCTTCCCTATGACTAGAATATTCTCCCTCCTCACTTCCCACTCCTGTCTTTCCTGGCGTCCTTCAAGATTTAGCTCAGATCTCTTCTGCACAAGCCTTTCCTGGTCTGCTCACCATCAGCTCTAGTCCCTTCTCTCAGAGCTTACCTTCCATTTACACTGTATATATCTTATCTCAGCATTTATTTGCGTGCTGTCTTCCCCTTTGGAATGTGAATATCTTGAGAACAAGGACAATGATGGTTGGTGTTGGGTTTTTTTTTTTCACTTTCTTTATTTTTATCTTCAGTGCTTAGCACTATGTCTGGCACACAATAAATATTTAATAAATGCTTGGTTATTGACTGATAAAAGGTCTGATATCAAAGCTAGAATAGAAGAGTTATTCTGAATAGATAGTCAAAGAATATGAATTCAAGGAAAGAAACCCAAACTATCAACAACCATATAAAAACTTTTCCAGGTCACTAATAATAAGAGAAATGAAAATTAAAACAATTCTTCACACCCAACAGATTGGCAATGATGACAGAAAAGGAAAATTACAATTGGAATATGGGAAAAGGTCTGTAGTTAAAAAAAAACAAAAAAGAAAGAAGAGAAAGAGAAAGACTACTAATATACTGGTCAGCCATTCTGGAAAGTAATTTGGAACAGTACACAAAAAAGTCACATAGTTGTGCATCAGCAGTATAGCTCCTGGGCAAATACCCCAAAGGGTTCAGAGAAAAAAGTGTTCATGTATAAAAAATATTCAGAGCAGCACTTTTTCATAGCAAAGTAAAGGAGTGCCCATCATTTAAGGAATAACTTAACAAATTATGGTATATGAATATAATGGGATGTTGATGATATAAGAAATGATAAAAGGGATAGATTAAGAATATTGGAAAGACTTGTATGAACTGATGCAGAATGAAGTGAGCAAAACTCAGAACATTTGCTGAGTATTGTAGTGATATAATCACTACAACATTATAAAGAAAAACATCCTTTAAAGACTGAAGAACTCTGTTCAATACTGTACATACAGTGGCCACCCAGGAGTCTCGAACACTGATGATGAAATATGCTACTCACTTTTTGACAGAGATTCATAGAGATGCAAAATGAGACTTTCATTTTTGGATTTGGCCAATGTCTGCATTCATTTTGCTTGACTATGGTTATTTGTTATATGAAAAAAATTTGTGTTTGTTTAAAGGTAGTGATGCAAAAAATAGAAGAGAAGATGATCATTGGTGTTTTTTTGTTTTGTTTTTACTTGCTCAGAAGAAAACGAAATGAAGTTCAGAGGGAGATAAAACAGGACAATTTTAAAACTAACATATATTAAATATGTGTGCATTTAAACAAGGTGTAATAGATACTTTCAATATCATATAAAACCATCTTTTTCTGTTCTTTATGTGGAAATGATGATGGTTTTAATTGTCAAGTTCAGAATAATAGCATTTAGGGGCAGCTAGGTGGCGTAGTGGATAGAGCACTGGCCCTGGATTCAGGAGGACCTGAGTTCAAATGCGGCCTCAGACCCATAACACTTACTAACTGTGTGACCCTGGGCAAGTCACTTAACCCCATTGCCTAAAAAAAAAAAACCTCAAAAACCAGAATAATAGCATTTAAAAATTGAAATAAAAATGTCCTAGGGAAAGATGAACTCATAGCAAAGTTTAAAGAAATAAAAGATAGATACAATCATATACCTTTCCCAATGATTTATTTTTTTATTTTTTTTCCTCTAAAAATGCTTATATTTAACATAGTCTTCAAAATTTGCTTGGGGTACTGAGAGGTGACTTGGTTGTGGCTCCACTGTCAGAAATAACAATGGAACGCAAGCCTTCCTGACTCCTTGGTTGGTCTTCATCCACTGACCAGGCTGCTTCTGCTGAAATGTTATTTATCTCCAGGCTTAGTTAGAGCACTTTTTCTCCAACATTTTTGGAACAATTATCCAAACAGCTTACGGTCAGCTTTGGCAGCAAAAAACTGTCTCTGTATTTTGTAGTTAAATATCAGCAGCTTTCCTCCTATTCAGTCACAGGCAATCTATTTTACCTTCATTGACTGTGAGAACTAATTATGGGAACAACCTTGTCACTCCCTCTGCCTCTTGTGTGAACTGAAATTTAAATACTGTTGTTCCCTTAGCAGTGGTTTGTGTTACAACCTTCTGATCCAGACTGCCTTAACTGGGAATTCCATACAATTGATTTTCAAGAGTTCACATCCCTCTTGGAACATTCCTTCTTAGAATATTTCCAAACTACATTTAATCAGAAATCCTAAGGTCTTAAGCATTTTGTTTAAAGCCAGTAGTTATAAAAGGATAGGAACTGCCTGATTTTGTTAGTAAAAGAAACCCTTCTACCAATGATGGGGGCACTTTTTTTTTCAACTTACGAGTCTTAGAACTGAAAATTTCAGCCTCTTTTTTCATATGAGAAATGTCAATAATAACAGCACCTACCGCCTAGGATTGTTGTAAGGATCAAATGAGATAATGTGTATAAAATTATTTCCAAACCTTAAGGTGCTACGGAAATGCTTACTATTATTATCATTATAATAATCGTCGTCATCATCATCATCATATTCTTTATTAGATGAGGTCTCTTTCAGCTCTGCGTCCGTGATGCTATAAAGACTAGGTTAGGTCAAGGTCTCCTCTGTGTTCTGGACAGGTAAACAAGTAAGTTGATAAAAATAACACCACCATTATTAATTAACCATTTTTTAAAATAGAACACATCTTGTATATCTTTGTTAACCTCAGTATTGAACCACATAAAATTACTTTTGTTTTTCAGGTATTCACCATTACATAACATCAGGTTACCTGAAGGGGATGGAGTCCAGTATCCATCCATGTTACTTCTCACTGCAGATCATGATGACCGCGTGGTACCCCTTCATTCCCTGAAGTTCATTGCGACCCTACAGTATGTTGTGGGCCGAAGCAGAAAGCAAACTAACCCTCTGCTCATTCATGTTGATACTAAGGCGGGCCATGGAGCCGGAAAACCGACTGCTAAAGTTATAGAAGAAGTTTCTGATATGTTTGCATTTATAGCACGGTGCTTAAATATTGATTGGATTGAATAAGTGGAATACTGGGCTCCCATTGTGTCCCCAAAATAAACCTCAAGGGCTTTTAACCACCATTTACACAGAGAAACCAGTGGGCATAGTACTCGTGTTTGAGAACAATGTTCCTATGCTTATGAACCACAGTTTGTTCTTCCAGTGACCCAAACTGCTGTGGGAATTTTACCTTTTTTAGGCTTCTCCTTTTTATCATTCCCTGGGAGTGGCTTTTTCTGCCATATTCAAACATATGTTTAAAAAAAAAAAAGGCATGTTTGGACAAATAGCTAAATTTCAGCAAATGCTGTTGTGAATACTTAGATTTCCAGAGTTTGAAAGTGGTAGTCAAGCTTCCTATAAAACCTCTTAATATTATGTGCTCCCATAACCTTATCCAAGTCACCTGTAAGTAAACATAAGAACTGTGATTATACAAAAACAAAATTTCTTTACATCCATAATAAATGTTATTTGAGAATGGGAGGCTTTATTTCTGGTTCTTTACGAATTACTGGTGGGAGGGAACACTAAAATTCTAATCAGATGGGATTAAATTAGTTTTCTTTCAAAATATGAGCTTTGCGCAGTTTTGCAACAAATTGATTTTCAAAATGACCTAAATCATTTTATGTTTTTTGGTTAACAGCTTATAAATAATGTGATTCCAGTGATCATTTGAAGTTAAGCTGCTTTTTTTTCCCCTCAATATTTTGCTCTTCAACTGATCTGTACCTACCTCTTCTAATAAGCTGTCTTTTATTTAAATGCCTCCTATAAAAATGGATGGAAACTGGAAAATGGTGACTGCTTCCTAAAATCCAAACTTTAATTTCTTTTCTTAAGCTGACAGAAAGATTTCTGGATATATTAGGCCCTGCCAGTTCTAAATGCTACAATCAGTGATTTTTGTATCATGGGATCCAAATATAAATTCCTTAAACTTTCCAAGTAGATACTTCTTTTAAAAACTTCTTTCCTATCAGGAGGGCACTTTTTAAACCTCACTTAGTTATCTTACTGTAGTGTTTCCTTTTCTCTCTTCATCAGAGCTGAAGAAGGTATGCCTATATATAAAATGCCATACAAGGACGTAACAGCCTTCTGCAAAATAAAATTAGTTATTCCAATTCCTTTCGCTTGTCCAGATAGGTCATATTTTTCAGCACTGCTAGTCGTGCAGTCCTCTCTGTGCACACCTTTAACTGAATAGGTAATGTTTTCCACTAAGGACCAATGCCAAGCATTGCAGAAGGGAAGCAGCTTAGTTTGTTTCTGCTCAATGCACTTGTAGGATCATGGTTTTTAAGCCCCAACTATGCAGAACGCTGCTGGCATATAATTAACTTGTGTTCAGCCATTGCCCTTCTGAATCCAAGGTGTCTCTCGCCATCTTTTCTGAAACTGATGTTGTTACCATATGGCCATAGAAACAGCAATACTGCCCAACAACCGATTTGCATCACTCCTAAACAGCATGCTAGGAAAAAGCCAATAAAATGCATTTGCACAATTGAGCCAAAAGGCCTTCAGTGTTGATCAACTGATTTATTTGACTATGTACAGACATCTGAATTGTACCTGTGTTTCTCCTGAGAGCCTAAAGGCTGGAGGGGAAATGTGTAATTACGTTAAAAATGTCAATAAAAGTAAAATTGATTTTTAAAAGTGAAAAGTATTTGGAAGTTATTATGGAACCATCCCCATTTGTTTTTCTCTTTTTAAAAAAAATGGTATTTGAATTGTGCAGCAAATTGTGAACTGAGTGTTGTATTCCAGGATGGCTACACTTTTTTTGGGGGGGGGGAGCTTTAATTGATTTTTAAAATGCGCTTTTCCCGGTTGGTTTCCTTAGGGCACAAGTACTAAAAATTTTATTTTAAATATTCATTTTTGACACTTGAAATAAAGTCAGTCATTTTAAACTATGGTTAGAGTCTAGGACTTAGTCACTTTCCCACTGACAGTTGCAGCCCAAGCCTGATCCCCTTTTCCCTTCCTGACACTATAATGATAATAACAAAAATCAGCATTTATATGGTGTGTACTACATGCCAGGCACTGTGCTAATAAGCACTTTACAAATATTATTGCATTTGATCATCACAACAATGCTGGGAGGTAGGTGCTGTTATCTGCATTTTAACAGTTGTGGAAACTGAGGCAGACAGAGGTTGTGACTTCTCCAGGGTCACACAGTATCTCACGTTGGATTTGAAATGGATCTTCCTGACTTTAGACCCAGCCCCACCTAGTTACCTCTTCTGGGATTTGCCAAGCTAGAAACGTACATCTGTGCAACCCTATTGATTAACTTCTGCTTACTTGTAACATCAGAGGTAGGAAATAAATCAGACAGCACCAAGACTCGTTCTCTTTCCCTCCCTATTAAACACCAGACAGATATATGCATCATTTTTCTTCCCTGATGAAATCCTACAAACCATGATTCCAACCCGTCTAATTGGCTTAGTAATGGTGTGCCAAGTCCTTGGAGTTAGCTTCCCATAGATTATTGTGGATATATTTCTCCACCATGGTCTGAAGGGTCCAGTGTCCAATGAATTCATGTCTTCCTGATTTCAGGTCCAATCCTGTATGCACTGTGTCACATAGTTACCTACTTCTTAGGAGTCCATAGTTCTTTAGACCAACAAAGGGGTTCATGACAATAAAAGGTAAAGAACCACTAGTCCAAGAAACCAGGACCCAAAATTTTAAGATTTATCATCTCAGTGCTTTGCATGTCATTCAGAAGCCGGTCAGTAGCCAATAAAAATGGAAGAGTATTGGATAATTGTCTTAAGAAGAATGAAAGCATACAAATTAACATTATTGATATATCTAATATATCATTATTATTCATAATATGTGAAATAAAAATATATAAATGCTCTCATCAGCCATTGTTGCTACTATTCTTATCATTCAGAAATCTTGTACCACTGAGCATGGGTGGAGGGTGGGGAATAAGGGCGGCTAATGATACCTCTATTGTTAGCAGTGCCTTATTAATGGTTTGTTTTAATGTTTGTTATTGGGTGGCTATAAATCAGATTGTTAAACATCATTTAGTCACCTTTACCTGTCCTGTGATTGAATAAACTGGTTAATAGGCTTTACAGGGTTTACATAATTTTTCTGAAAAAAGGCATTTTATGCCTCTGCCAAGAATTTGAAGGGCTCTAGCCTTACTGCATCTTAGAACATAATTTTCTCCTGGGAAATCCTCTATAGGCTTGATAGGAAACAGGCAGTGTAGTTAAATGAAAGGAGTCCTAATTTGGGTTTAGCCACTGATTACTGTGACCCTCAGCAAGTCATATTCCCTCCATTAGCTTGAGTTTTGTTTTAGTCCTGACCTGATTTAATCCATGAAGGCAATTCCCAGTGGAAGACCATCAGCATCTTACAGGCCTAAAGATTTGCCTAGGACACTCAGAGGTCAAGTAATTTACCCTTAATTACATAGCCAGGATGTCCCAGACATGGGACATGAACCCAGATTCTTTCTGACTCCACAGAAAAGCCCTTCCAATCACTGTGCCATGCTGCCTTTCTGAACCTCAGTATCTGTTTCTTAAAAGGAACAAGTGAAACTGCTTCTGCCTCAGCTCTAAAATTCTGTTGTTGTGAAAACATTTGAAAAAGGTACAATTGCTAAAATATCCTTCCTTTCATTTTCAGCAAATGTTGACACTGTGTCAATTGTTCTTATAAGTCCTTAAAAATTATTAACATTTGTATGTTTTGGGTTTTTGAGCCTAGGTTGCCCAGGCCGGAAGCACAGTGGTCACTCAGAGGCCCAAAACAGTTGACTCCTTTTCCAACCAGCTTACCCCTCCTTAGGCAACCTTGTCCTTAAATTCCTAACTTCCCAGTTCTCAAGTTCAAGAGATCCACCCATCTGAACTTCATTGATAATGGGCATGCACAACTATGCCCGACTACATGTTGATTTTTACACTTTACAAAGCATGCTATTTGCAACCATGTGAATTAGCACTGCATCATTTTCTCTATCTTACAAATGAAGAAATAAGCTCAGATACATTGAATAACGTGCCCAGCATCACACAGCTAAGTGATTGAGCTTGAACTTTCACAGTGGTTGCCTTCAAAGCACATTAGAGAGGTGATGGGAATTACTCGGAGAGAATTGAAAATCACATTTCCTTCTGAAAATCTAGTGGAATGAAGGAAGATAGAGAAATACAATACACATGTGAATACAGTAAACATGGGTGATGATATAGCATTGACCCTTTCCAGTCTATATCCCTTTCTTTTCTCTCTCTTAGATATGATTAACCAGAATGATGGTTCCTTAGATAACACAATTATTCTCTCAAACATGATGGAAGCTAATTTTTTCCCTAAAATACTTTGCAGTCATCCAAACTTTTTCCTACTCTAAAAGAATTAGCCTGTATTAGGACCCTGTAATATCATTCCATTTATTGAGAAAAGAGCAATCATCATATACACTCACATAGAATTAGACAACTTCCATTCATTCATCTTTGGTCAGTCCTATATTCTTTGAACCTCATTACTTGATGTGTAGTAACCAGGTAGTTTATTCTCCCCATGAAAAAGGACAACTGCCAGGAAGTTGTGATTTCAATATGAGTTGTTTTCCAAGCCAATATGAAAACTTCCTATGGGAAGGCATCCATCATCACTCAGTCCCCTGTGATAAAGGGATATTAATGTGGTCCAGTTTATCAAACTCAAGTTCCTTAGAAAGCCTTGAAAGTTCTGGCTTCCATCTCCTATGCAAGAAGTATTCTGGTGGCCCTGACTTTTGCTCACAGTGAATGCACTAAATGAAATTAGTGCCAATAATTCATCCAGTGGTGTACATATGTTTATCAAGGGGCTAATGGAGATACTCCTGCCCAAAGGCTCATTACAGTTCACAATCATGATCACCAAGTCCTGCTGGCACTCATCCTGGTGAAAACCCTTTGCTAGCGGTTAGATGTTAAACCAAAAGAGACAATATTTCAGCTTAAGGGGCCAGCTTTTCTTTTATCAGATCCCCAGCTCTTTGAAATAGGACACTTAGGAAGAGCTGACTTACATTTCTCCCAGCTCTGATTTAAGCTTAAAATTGGGTCCTGTAGCACTAGCCATCTTTGCTTATTAATGCTGCCATTAGATTCCAATTTGAATCGAGTCATAGCTGAACTTATTACCCTTCACGCTTTTCTCTCTGAGGCTCACAGTGGCATTAAGCCTGGCTTTCTAGGGATACTCATGGATAGGCAAGTTATATGGAGTGATAAACACAAAATCAACCAAATGATTTAATCAGCAAACATTTATTAAACACCTCCATGTTCCAGACACTATGCTAGGAAGCTGGGGATATAAAACTAAAAATGAATATTTCCTCATGGGGGAAAATAGTGAGACAATGTAAGTATGGATAAGATATAATCAAAATAAGTGCTAAGTTATATTTGAAGAAGACACCAGCATCTGGGGAGGTTCAGTAAAGTCTCCTATGTTGGTAATGGTATTTGAGCCTAGAGTCAAAGGAAACTATGGGCTGTAAGAAGCAGAGGTACTACTTCTTACACATGCCTATGAAACGCATCAAAATGGAAAATGAAGATGCATTAGGAATCCTGGAAATCAACTAGTCATGGGACTTAGATGTAGATGTGGAATGGACCCCTCAGAGGCATCTACCTCCTTATTGTACAAATGAGGAAACAGCAAGATAAATTACCTTGTCCAAGGTGCCACAGGTAGTAAGAATGGGGGGAGAGGGGTGGGGATAAGTGGAGTTCAACCCAGGTCCAATGACTGATTAGTGCCCCTTTCAACATACCATGGAACTGGTTTGGCTAGACTGTAGAGCATGTTAAAGAGAATAATATCTAATATGGTGGAAAGGTAGATTGAAACCAGGTTGGAAAAAACCTCAAAGGCCAGCAATCAACAAGTCAGCAAGCATTTAGTAGGGGAATGGGAGGGAAGGGAAAAGGAGTATGCATTTATATTATGCCTACTGTGTGTGAGCACTTTACAAGTATCTTATTTGAGCCTCACAATAAGCCTGTGAAACAAGTGCTATTATTATCCTCATTTTGCAGTTGAACAAACTGAGGTAAGCAAAAGTTATGTGATTTTCCCGGAGTTAGGCAGCCAATAAGTATATGACGCAAGATTTGAACTCAGGTCTTTCCTACTCCAGCCCAGTTCTCTATCCACTGTACCCCCTCCCCGACTATGTGCCAGGCACTGTGGTAAGCACTGGGGATACACAGAAAGGCAAAAAGCAGTCCCTGCTCTCAAGGAGCTCATAGTCTAATGAGGAAAACTACATGCAAACAACTACATACAGATAAAATATAGGTGGGAAACATTGGTGATAATCTCAGAAGGAGGGTGCTAGAATTAAGAGAGATCAGAAGTCTCCTTGTAGAAGATGGGTTTTTGGCTGGGACCTGAAGGAAGCCAGAGAAGCTGGGAGACAGAAAAGAGGAAGGAGAGAATTCCAGACATGAGTGACAGTGAAAATACACAAAGCAGGGAGATAGAGCATCATGTGCATGGAACGTGGAGGAGGCCAATGTCAATAGACTGCAGAGTGAGTAGAAGGGAGTAAGGTGTAAAAGAAGATTGCAAAGAGAGGAAGGGGTTCGGTTAAACAGTATTTTA